CACCAGCTCCTCCCAGGAACGGCTCGTTAGGGGGATGCTCGCTGCTGTCACCCGTGCTTAGGGAGCAAAAAAGAGGAAAAAAGAGAACAATCAAAGACGTTTGTTAATTCGACCTCCGAGGAGCTGGTAGCGGCGTTGCGTTGTGCCGCGGCGCCGGGGAGCTGCAGGAGAGGACTGGAGCCCCTCCAGCGCCTCCCTCTCCGAAACGCCGCCGGCCGCAGCGGCTGCGTCGCCCGGCTTCCGGGCTTTTGTCTTTTCCTTTGGGTCTCTAGGTTGTGTTGTATTCAGAGAGGTTTCTTTCCTAAAAGTCAGGCAACGGGGAAAACGGAGGTTGTGCAAGATCGCAGTTACGGAGCAAGGTGCCCACAGTTTGTGCTGCTGCTTCTCCTTAAAAGCCTGAATTATTTCGTATTTGAATTACTTTAGCACCCGTGTTCAGGGGCGATTTTGGGGTTTTTTTTGCTTAAAAACTCACCTTCTGCAGTTCAGTTTCCCTCCCTCCTAAAGGAGGTAATAACTCCCTCATCTCAGGACTCCTCTAAGAGGCTTTCTCATCGGTCTGGAAACGCGTCGAGATCCCTTGGAGGAGTCTAGCACGGGTTCGTGGCCTCGGGATAGCTTCACGCCTGCTCGTTTTTGGCTCCTGGGAGCTGCGGGCTCTCCCACACGCGCCAAAGGGCTGTTGCGGCCTGGGGGAACGGGGATTTTGCACCGCGAGCCGACGGCACGCTGCCTGGTGGGAGCTTCTCGCGGGAGCCCCGCGGCCCGGACCGCTCGGTGCAGGGCTTTCCCGCTTCATCTTCTGTAGGGTAGACGATATGATAGCCCAGCCCGTTCCCAAAGCCCAGCAGGTTTGGCCCCCCAAAAGCTTGCAGCACAGCGAGTTACTCTTATCTGAGGTCTCAAAGGTCCTTGCAAATACGCGGGGTGCTGCGAGATGGCCCCCGTCCGGCTCATAAATGCACGAGGGCCGTGCGTTTCCCCTCCTCGCACCGGATAAACGGCGAAGCTGTGGCTGTGATTCGTTTTTTCTGCTGCCCGGGGGGGGAGCGCGGAGCCGGCGGGTGACGCGTCCAAGAGCTTCGGGGACGCGCGCGGGGGAATTAGTCACTTGGCGCTAAGGCACCGAAACGCTTTTCCCCTGCATGAACGC